ACAACTCAATGTTTCTTAAGTCTCGTAGAATAATTCTATAGTGTTGGTTTGGTAGTTGATCCATTTTGCATATACTCTTCAAACAAACAAACAAACGTAAATAACCAAAAAATCTCTACCAGTGATAAAACCTCAAGTGAACTACTTGATGTTCCCCCCATTAAGAGAGAGGAAACTTGCCCTACAAAAGCATTTGCCTGGCTCAGTGGACATATAATAAACACACTGTGTATCTCCTGTTCCACTGGCGTCAATGGAAATACCCTAACAGACACTGCCTCAGGCATGCACAGGGCTAGGGTATACAAATACTTTGCCAAGAGCAAAGAGGATGAACAAATACACACTATAGGCAATAAATAACCCCACTAAAGCAGCAGATGGAAAACAAAAGTTCATACCACTCAAAGAGTGAGTTCAAACTCCTAGACTCCAAAAAATCTGCATCTATCCTGACTGTGAGCATTACTATAGGTGGATCAGGTAACCATACCATCACAAGCTTTATTAAACATTTTATATATGGATAAGTTTATAATATTGGTTTAATCATATCATCAACAAGTAATTACCTCCTCCACCCCCCAAACCCCTTTATGACCCAGTATGGAGAACAAATATCAAGAACACACAATTGCTTAGTAAATGATGCTGTTATTCATGAGATCATGGTCTCTACCGTGGCAAAGAAGCAGCACCCCGGAACAAGGAAGCCCAGCGTAAGGGCACTTGAGCAACAGAAGTGAGTTCTTCCAGTGCTCTGTCACAAACGTGAGGTCATATATTTTTTTTTTAAATCAAAACTTAATCAGTATTTCAGTCTAATTCAGTGAGCAACTTGTAACATCTAAACACATTTTCCTTTCACCTAAACTTATAGCAAATGGATTCTCCCCTGTGGTAGTTTCCCCATGAAATCCAATATAATGTAAGCAGCTGGTGACAAGAGGTAAGGCAGCAGCATCCTGCAGGTCCAGTCCTGACTGTTCTGAGCGGTATCGGGCCACCCACATACAAACCAAAAACCCTTCTGACTTCTACTGTCATCTTAGATTTCAGCTGCCTAGTCACAACAATCATACTGCAAGAAATTCAACAGCAGAGATGTACATACCAGAAGTCAACTACAATTACTTGACAGAGACAGTCCACATTAAAAAAACAAAAACCACGCTACTGATTTCTGCAAACTTCCTAACTTACCAATACTACTTTATCCGCAAAATACAGAATGATAGCTCTTTTTTGTCTTATTTAATATTGTATCTTCAGTATTACATTAGAGGGCACATATAGATCCTTCCGGGAAACAGCACTTCAATCGTAATGAAGAAAACCTCTTTTCTTAAATAAAACTGAAGGGCAGGGGGACACAGAACTTATCAAGTAGACCTAAATACTGTTCCGTGGCTACTACATGCCGCCATGCACCCCCCAAGTCAAAGTAATTTACTTGTACGATTTCCACTGATACATAAAAGAAGCTAAAACAAAGAAAAGCCATTTAACTCTTCCTTGCAATAAGATCAACTTAAACTTCCCCCGTTTTTCAGCTATGGCTTGTGAGCTCTGTTAAACACCTGGAAACGTAAAGTTCCTTTACAGCTGCATGTGTATGTAATTAATGCATCTGACAAGCTGTTGTGTTCCCAAACAGCTGCTTCCATTGTACAGACAACTTTACCATCTGCAAAAGTACTGGGTAAACTACAGTAAGTAAATACCAGGATAGCAGGTGCTAATAAATCACAAGCCCTGCCAAGATAACACACTTCTGTAAGGAAAGTTTTAATCTTTCCTGCTGTACTTTTCTGTACCCCTGGAGCAGGCAAACTTAAGATACTCGGAAAGAGAGTAAGTAGTGTTGTGACTCATAGGAGCAGTAAAATAAGGTTTGGGGCAAACATCTCTGAAATCACAATTAAATGCCATTAATCTCTCCTGCACTAAGCGAAAGAGGTCAGCAAATTTGCACCTAGAAGCGAGTGTCCTCACTACCCAGCCACAGCTACACATATTAAATGTGGTAAATAAAGCAAATTGAAAAGCGTCAGGTAAGTCTAGTCTCCTATGTTGAATATTCATATCTTAAACAAAAAAATTTCTATTTATGCCTGTGAGTATGCTCTTTACTACACTTCCCACCCATCACTGCTACTTAACCAAAAAAGCTTGTCCATGCATCTAAGACCAGATCAAAATGAGGCATTTGCTTGACCCAGCATCAGAACAAAACTGCAGATATAAATAACCGTTCTAACATCAAGTATCTCATGAACCACTAGGAACGATGATTAATACAGCCTCAGCTGAAATTTAAGAAAACAAAACTAAACAAACTATTACTTGTGCAACCGATCTTGCTGAAAAATCAAATAGGTAGATATGATCCACCTCCAGATTTACAAAACTGCCTAAGTTTTAGGTATATTCATACACTAAAAAAAAGGAACCAATTTCGTAGTACTATGTTTTAAGAAGCTTCATGTGATTTACGGTATTTGGAAGGTTACTGTCACTACCAGACATCCCATGTTTGACAAATAAACAAAACGCATGCAACAAAAGCCTGTGTGCTTATTTTCCCT